CAAGAGTATCATTAATTAATTTTGCTCTTCTTCTCCTAATATTAAATTCTGCTAGCAGTATTTCTGCTGCATATTACTGCGCAAAGAGCGTTCATATAAAGTGAGAAGTAACGAGTAAAGAAACCAAAAGCTCCTTAACTTGAATTAAGCTTATATCAAAATGTAAAAATTATGAATTAGTTTAGATATTAAAGAAAGAATACAATTATATGCAGGAGAAAAAGAGAATCAACAATAGACGATAGTTACATCATCTATTCATCATTATGGGTAGATAGTATCACAATATAAAAAATGGATACGTAATTTATTCTAATTCTGAGACATTACATTATTACTACGATCATAAAATCAAAAACTGTTTTCAATTTATTCCTAAAGAATTGGATCAAGATAGACTTGTAAGCTTACATGAATATTAAGTGTCCCGGCCAATACATACAAACAATATGACAGTTGTAGGTCAAATTATATATGCCCATATACATTTATATGACGGTGATAATTCTCGGACCGAGGACAGATTTGCGCCTGGAGAACGGTAATTCACATTAACTCAAGCTTCCCATGGGTGTACAATATATCTCTCCAACAGATGTCCACTATATAGGTTTTCTCGAATGTTCTTTAGATATCGTTTCGTCGTTCGTTTTATTTGATTTTAATAACAATTTAAGGTGGCAAATTACACTAATATTATATGTGAAAGTTTCTTTGTTTGGATGTTCATCCGTCAATCACACCGAAACTACTAAACGGATTTTGATGAAATTTGGTATACCTACAGGCAGGGTATGGGCTGACTTAGGGGATAGGATACTTTTTATCTCTTTTTATTATGCTCCTAGTAGATAAAACAGGAATCACATTCTACGCGGACGAAGTCGCGGACAACAGCTAGATATATAAATCGGTTTGATTGAAATATTTCAGTTTTATCCATTATCACTATCACTGTGAATACACTGTTGTCCTAAAATTTAGGTATACTTATTTCCTCGTATTTTAATTTTCGATTCATCTCTGAGTCCAACACCTCACACAGTGATAATCCCATGACTAAATCATATGAAAGGATTGAACGTGAAAAAAGTCCCATTCTACATAACCCAACTAATTGCCTAAAACTTCTGCTCAACATCAACAAAACGAGAAACAACCCTTCAGACAATTACGTATTTTGACATCACCGCGGGACTTAAACAAATCGTGAACAACACGACTACAAATGCGAGCCATAAACAAGTTTTGATACAGACATCCGAACTGTACCGTAGTTTATAACAAGGGAGAGTTCATAACAAAGTTTTGTATCCAGTTAAAACTAGCGGACATTTTTCAACGATCACCGAGCTTAAATTGAATTTTGTTGAAAAAAAGTAGCAATAATTTTTTGCACATAATACATAAACATTACTAAGGTGGAAGCTTGTATTGCTTGCGTACACTACTTTCAGGAACAAACACAGCCAATGTTATTATGATGTTCTTATATTGGCCTTCATAAGCAACATTAGCGCTATTTCCCGCTAAGAACAAGATTCGAAACAAAATCAGCGATGAAGACATTTACAAATATAATGCAAAAGAAAATTGTTTCCTGCCAAATAATGCGGTAACTTGATGTTATTTCCTGGCCGTTTATTTTGTTTTTATTATTCTAATGGACCATGACCACGAAACGAATAAACGTAAGAATAAAAATGATAAACCAAATACCTTTCTCTACGTACAGAGAAGAATAAAAAAGGGGACGAAACATGGGAAACCGCAATGGTACCTAATGGTGAAGCACCTTTAATGCGCGCTTCCAAATGAATTTCCATGCGAAATTCCATTTTAGAGAAACCTCAAAGGGTTTAGAGCCGTTGAAAACTGAGAGAAAAAAAATAAATACGAATGTACAAACGTGGAAAACGGTGAAATATTTTATGAACGCTTTTGTACTCGGCTCGAACGCCGTGGAAGGAACGTATATGCACCGCGGTAAGCTACAAACCGGCGCTTTGCTTTTTAGCCCTTTCAATACCTATGTGTATCGTTGAATGAACAGAAATAATAAAAATATTCAAAAGTCGAAATAAAAGACACTGACCACCATATTTTAAACTTATATCATCTGGACTAGTACCTATGAATGGAATAAGAGAATGGTCACCTTATCTAACGATGTCCATCTATATTTGAAAAAAAACCATTAGACCAATGAAACATTTCAGAACTCTATACACAATACTCGAAATGAAAATAATGAGATGGATTATTCAGATCCGCAAGATAGTCTAATAAGGACACTTGACATACAAGGTAACGCAATCAATAGCAGAATATATTCACGATACATAATGCATTCTCGTTGTTATGAACTTTGTCAATATGTTAAGTGCATCCGTTGTTCGGAGTCACTTCGAATACAAACTAGTACAAAATTGCATTAGCTCCAGACCAATATTGTATATCCGAGCGGTTTCCATTTGACACAAGTATGCATGGTCACGATATTAATTTAACTTGCAGACAGTTGGCAATTCTTTGTCTTTGTTCCACAAACTATGTGAGAACATGCTAATTTTAAAATTTCTATTTCGGAGCAATGTCTTGGAAAAAATTTATTAAATTGGCAAAGTTTTAAAATTTCACTTATAAAATCAAAACTAAGTAATGTTATTAAAATAGTTTTTTATAGTTCTGAATTAATAAGGTAAACAGTTTAATTCAATGTTAAATCTAAATTGCTGTTTCACTCGTTTACGTAATTATGTAATAGTCAAATTTTAATACAGAGTAGATTCTCCAATTAAACGTAAGATCAACAATTCATGAAAACCATCAATCTGACTTTTAGTGTAAGGAAACTGAAAATATACTTTACTTTGGTTAAGATTCCACAGCAATGAAATTAGAAACTAAAAAAAATAAATTAGTCTCACTAAGGATGGGCTTAACCCATAAAGTCCATAGTGAGACTTGATTAAGTTTAACGTTTTTATCAACCACAATAGAACACAGCTACATACAGGACGACCAAAAAGCACTTTGTACTGACATTGTATTCATGAACTTTCCACTTCACATTAGCATAATGATTATTTTCAGAATATAAACACGCTATAAAGTTTTCAACTACTGCACAATGTGCACTCGATAGTCTGACACTGTCATCCAAAAGTTCAATCACTGTAGGTCGGCGGCTAAGACGACGTTGAGCTATTAATTTTCGTAATTAAATTTGATCCTTCAGACGCCGAAATTTACTTTGACGTCTAGACGTAATTATCTCTTAAACAGTTTCCTTGCAATTTCATTACTTTCAAATCGTTTCACAGTTGTCCAACCGCGTAATAAAGAGCTTAACGATTTAGTAAAAGGTGTACTGATAAAAGATTAACTAATAATCTCTTAGAACATAAAAGACGCTAAAATTAGGATTTTACTGAATGACGTCAAACTGAGATTGTGTGGGCACATACTAGTAATCCGGGCATTGAAATCAGAGCAAAGCTGGACAGACATGAAACACAAGACTTAAATATAAATATTACAATTACGAATGAATAAAAACGAAAACAATTACGAATGTATATTTGAACAAGAGAAAATAAATATAAGTCTTGGTAAACTTAGAACGATTTTCACCACGATGTGTGTTCTCTTATGATAATTTGAGCACTTATAAAAAATAAACGATAGCGCTTAAGAAAAGTTTGATGAACGACTAGACTTTACACAAGGCATATTTTTTTTCTTTATTGGAATGAGACCATTAGAACTTGTGTAGATTTTATATTCATCCGTTTTCATTAGCAATGAATCAAGAGAATCGTAAAAGTCTTCACAGACAATAAAATTGCTGTGGCAGATGGGAATACAGTTGTCGTGTTGAGAAAACCGCAATAAATCCTATATACATAATGCTAATAACAGACCTCATACAACTGTCCATGACAGACTGCTTGTCACTCTTTCTTTTTCTTTGCAGCTGATTTTCGTGCAAAGAAAAGAGATAGCTATAGTTATGTTTAACAACTTGAAACGTCTGTAGCACATCCATCTCAGCACTGCAGTAGCACAAACTCGTTCTTGAAGCTATAAATTCTGATTACGAACGAGTGACTTGCATTCAAGTGCAAATTCCAATTTCGATTTTCTACTTCTTATTGGGAACGATTTTGAGGCTATTGTGGTGGCCTTTAATCAATAGTGTTTCAATTAATTGGTACAGAGGACGTCTTTATGTGAAATAGTAATTATAGTTGCTATCTTAATAGTCAAAATCAGTAATGCTATTAATATTCATAGCGTTATGAAATTTAAACGGACGTCCTACTTATCGGGAACTTTGTTGCTAATTTACTTTTGTTCCACTTTCGTGATTCTTGAAGCAGCTTAACGTGGGACGCCCCAGAGGCGAATAGTTTATTCAAAATGTCAACCAATCGTTCCCATTGGTCGTACTCGTCTAAGTGGCTAGGTAGAGGCTGGCCTCAACTTTTAGATCGGTGAGCGAAAACAAACGTCTCTAGAGACCCTTAAGCCAGCCATAAGTGGCCGTATAGAAAGGAAGTATCCAACCCCAAAAGAATTAGATAACATACCTTCACATTTTTATAAAAAAGAGCCCAGATAAAATAAAAATACAACCAAGAAACTATGATAACGTAAAAAAATTACATTTGAATAGATAAAGTCGGGTGGTGCTTATTCGTAACCTAATCTTGGCAAACAATAAATTCAAGAGGCACTATCGAATATTTGTTCAGTAAAAACTGTTTAAACATAGGCCACTAGAATGTTGAATAGCATTTAGAAGTGGAAACATTTTTAATAAATTGAATAACATTGGAGACTTAGGTCAAACTGAACCTAAAGCTTTTAAATTAAAAGTAACGATATTTTGAATGTCGACACACGAATATATATTGAACAAATGAAATTGGAAGCAGCAATCAAAAAAATATTTGAGTAATTACTTAAGAATATAATATTGACCCAATACTAACCTTCCATTTTGTGGATTAGGTGATGCTCTCTCCCCTTGCACCAGGAACAAAGACCCTCGATCCGCATCCAATAATATTGATACGTTTTGGAGGATCTTGTGACACAGCACCCTTACTTCTAGCTCGTTGCAGATGTCCTTTACCTATGACAATGAAAAAAGACAATAATTATCAAGATTTTTAAAAAAGATTTTCGAAATTCATTGGTATTTATGTTATGATAGGCGATTTATTGTGTGCAACAACATTTTTACGACTAATGGCCGATTTTTCCAACGCCAGATAAATTTAACTGAGGAATACTGAGGAATAGATATACTTTCAATATTTCATACTAAAAACTGTCAAAAGTCTTATATTCTACAGTTAAGAATTAACTGATGATTGAAAAATCGGCCGTTAACAAGCCAATTTTCTTTCAGAGGCAAGACAACAAAACTTTATTAATTAATATTTTCCTATTCCTATTTTAAATATTCCCGGAGTAGATTCATTCATAATCTTGTAAGTTGTATCTACGTACCTATCAGATTAGCGAGGTTTAAAATAGTTACGTGAGAAAGTTGTGGTGCTATTATCATTATTGTAAAAGATTATTATGGCTTTGGACACCAACAATTATAATCTTTATATGACGATAATTACACAGAAGGATGAAATCAATGTGGTTAGCTATTACGATGACCGCACGCTTGATGTCACTAGTAATCTGCGTCAGACTTTTCTTTTGCATATATTAAGATTACACGTCAACATTTCTACTATAAACCCACTACAACTTATACAATAAACTTTCCCGTTGGATCGTACCATGATAAAAGTCAAATAAAACTAGTGCAAACTAGTTTAAACTGCAAACCCAGTTTCATATCAATGAATAAAACAACACAAACTCCTGGCTCTCGGGGCATAAAAATTTTGGAATACAACCATTGCAAAAGTCAGTTAAAACTTTATCTAGATTCAAGAATATACGCATGGATACAAATCAGTCTTGTGAAGCCGATAAAAAGGAAACAGTTGGAGTTTTTACCTCTATACGGAGCTTATTTGAGTTTACAATCATAGGTGAAGTTGGGTATTGTGATAATACGAACATCAGTAACAGGCAAGCGGTAGCGAATTTCTAAAACTTACGCATATATTTCAAACAAAACATTACTAAAATCAGAGATTTTATGACACACAAATTGCCACTTCAACAGTAAATATAGTGTAGAAATTTCAGTATCAACCTCCCCAATACAACCAACAAAACACTTCAACTAACAAGTTTTGAAATCTAAAACTTCTATACGATTATTGTGTGCCACAAAAAGGATATAACTTTTCGTCGAGGGAACGTCAGACCGACGTCAAGATGCAATAGAGGGATGTCAACAAACTCTGTCCACCCACGTAACATCCCAACTCGAAGGTTTCGCTAAAACTAGACGTCGAATATGATTTCCGAACTAATTTCCGCCAAGTATTTCTGTTGGCGTCGTCAATTTACTGAATCCGCTAATACATTTCGTAAATATATTTTTTATTCGGAAAGGAAATTATTATAATCTCGCGTTCTATATTTCCAGACGGACGCTTTATTACGTTCTACAAAGACAACCCAATTATGTGATTAATAAATATGACCTTGAACTAACAATGCAGGATAAAATCTCATTATACAAGGTCGCTTATTTACTAGAATTTGTATTGTTAAATAAATATTAGTATTAAATATTTTTCAACGACTGATTCATGCATCATATTGTTATGCAGAGCTTGACCTTGACATGCATATATTACGTTGAAAACGACATTCATTTTCCTACATAATAACGTTAAAACGTCTTTTTAGAACTTTGTAAAATTTTCGTATATGATTAATAAATCCCCCCATCCGTCGCCGTTTCAATTAATACGTACATGAAATGATTAATTATAGGCAATTTGGGTCGAACGTGATGCTCTAGTAATCCGAGACTCCCAACCAAACATTTAGGTTGAACAGGAACTTCGTTTAATAACTCAATCGGGAGAGTGAGTTCTGAATGGAGGTATTTGCACTGTGTAGGCGTCCGTTTACGTTCGAAAAAGCTTATTCTTTCTTAGTAAATATACCATTTTCGGCAGGATAAGAGGGTAATAAGATCATATTGTCCGATCGACAATTGGAGCAGAAAATATTGAACACCTATTCAAGATGTTTTCGTACTTATTTCGCTTCAAGATCTTGTTGATTCACACTTGTGGGTATTTAGATTAAACTGAATTGTTTTTTTCTGGGAAATAATCATTCAATGACTTCTCTCGCCCGAGTGAGGCAAGAGGGAGTGTCAGACTCTTACTGACTAAAAACCACCCCGTTCCTACTCCTGCACTTGGAGCCGGAGCCCCGGCAATCAAGATTGTCTTGATAGTACAATAATCGTTCTCTATAAAGGATAAATAATAATCTGCTTCAAAATGATCGGCAAAGACTCTTAGTCTGCACGCCACGGTATCATGAATGGTTACGAGTACGCTTACTTATCTATAATTTGCAGATATATGGCGCTTTAGTAGAACATCGTCATCAATGAATGCGCTATGAATATTCACGGTCGTCTTCTCACACGCGCATTGCCAAGTAGAGCTGTTTATCTAGTCGTTCAGTCAACCAACTGCCGTAATACGAACGAAACGATGTCAAAAGAACGTAAATCATAAATTCATAACACAATGAAAACGTTCCTGTTTTAGCTTCAGAAAGAAGGCAGAAATAGAATGGGTAATCCTCTGAAGAAAGGGTTAATCCTTAAGGTCAAAATAATTTTCAAGATTAACCACTCATGAAAAGATTGAGGATAATCTCAATTTACCTAGTTACATTGCACCTGAATGTGCACTAACACGCTAAAACGATACAAATACCAGCAGCATAGAACATTATGAAATACTAGATCTGTCAGTTAAGGTTTAATGGTCTCAAATGGAATAATTCAACGCTCAATTTCATTAGTATGTCCCTTGTTTGAGAAGCAGCGGGTGCATGTGTACCGGAGCGTATGGCGCCCGTTTATCAAATGCGGGCGAGCAGTCGGCAGCCGAGAACGCAGAAACAAAGTTACTGGAAGTGAAGTACGTACAGCTTTTACGAAAACCAGACGTGGTCTGCATAATTCAGGTGTTGGTAACGCGCAATAATGTTAACTTGATTGACGAAAGAAAGGTACGTGATAATTTTATTTACGAGCCCCCGATAAGGTGACAAGACCGCGTGGCGGGGAAGGTAATCTAGAGTGGGTGCGATAACAATTCCAATCTGAGTAAGTTGCCGTATGATTGTTATGCAATTGATTCTACTGACACATCTTTATGCTATCCACGTGTTGATAAAATTCTATTGTAAAAAATGTGTGAGTCATGTAACCGTTGAATGGTAGTACGCTTATCGTGTCATTCTTGTATTTTTTGCTGTTAAATGAAAATTACTTTACAATGAAATCAAATATAATGTCATTTCCATTGAGCTATGGTAGTGGAGTGTAGCGGTTTGTTTACATGTAATTATCAAGCCGGGCCGCTGTTTTATCGGAATTGACCTCTGTGCTTGTCGGTGGCGAGCCGACAGGGGCCTAATTTAGGTACACATGTAAAACGACACCCGATTGTTTCGTAAATTAACTTTTGATTGACGTCACAACGGGTTAATATGGTGGCCTGAAATGTCTGGTGTCTTATCTGGAAACTCCGTGTCCACCGACCGGTGTCTCCGATACCTACTATTACTTCGGTGTAAATGACAATGACTACGATAACTATTTGTTTACTTATTACAGGTGATTAGCCATTACAATCTCTAATGAAATGTTTATTACATCATAGAGGTTTCTTTCATTTCTTTATTAGAATACAATCAGTAGTTTTGGCATGATAAAAAACACAACTAACATTATAGGTATATCAGTGGAATGAGTAGATAACCCTTTCAAATCATTTGAGATACAGAAAATTCATTATAGTATAATAATATAAACCCTTCTACTACATATAAGTTGTAATATGTAGTATAAATTAACTTACATACCGATTAAGTGATTAAACATTTAGCCAAATCTTTTCTTTTTACCATAAATCACTTGAAGCGTGGCACTAAATTAAAACAAAGAAAATATATTTCATCTTGAATTGGGAACAAGGCCAATTCTTTGAAAAAGGGTTGTCTAAAGACATAAATCAATTTGTACAAAGCCTTTTCGTCCCTTTAAACTGATGTTAGCTTTCTCTTCTATACAAAATACTTGTAAAAACAGGGGGAAATAAAAAAAACAAGAATCTGTGCTAATGAAAATTGTATTGGCATAATTAATTTGAAGGGATGTTTACGTAGATTTTTCTCGAAATAAAGCTCTATTAAGGTCGAGCAGAGCCTAATACAATGTTTAATAAATAATAATTAGTTAGAATTTGGCGATTTTTATGTATTCTATGATTATCTAAACACCACTGACAAACGGTGAAGGAAAACATCGTGAGGAGATTTGAAATTGCCAACCCGCATTTACGAAGCGTGACGATTAACCTGTGAAGTGTCGGAACGCAGATCTACGCGAACCAATGTTTTTTATTGTGTCTCATAAATCGACAGACAATGAATTAATGCCTAAACCTTCTCCGCGTGAGAAGAGGCTTTTGGTCAGCAGTGGCCACTTATAGGATGTTGATTTTTATGATGTTGATATCTATAGATAATAATATTCAATTACCGTTATTGGCAGTTGATTCCTATATAATACTGGCATAATTAAGACTCGCAGTGGACCTAAAAAACCTAATCGGAAAGTATAGGCAGGAGATAATAAAAAAACCTATGTGACAAAACAAATTACGTACAGTTGTGAATTGTCAAAAAATACAATACTATACGTATTGAAATCGAACTAACAACACATTAAAGATTATTATACCACTTACGTTATGTATAAAAATACGATTACTGTTCAGCAGTAAACTTGTGGCTGATGCGATGCTGATAATTCTTTAAATCATTGTTTCTCCACATAATATTTCTGGGTATATCAAGACAGAGTAACCTATGGAGTTTCTTGCTCGTTCTTCTCCATAGGAATCTACACCTTGGAATGAGCAAATAGCTTCACTTTTAAATTTCTATTGCTGACGTTCAAAAGTGCCTTCTTGGTCTAATTGAAATAAATGATTTTGACTTTGACTTTGACAAAATAAACAAATCACTGTAAATTAATCATTACTTTTCTCAGCTAATTCAAATGAACAAATTATACTGCAAAAAGTATTTAAATTTAAAATGCAAGCAAATTAGTGTCTGAATTTATTCGTCCGTTTAGTCTAGCTGGAGTCTCAAGAGCTTAAAAGATCAAGACGGTGACACTTATAGCAATTACTTTTAAATAGAAAGAAAATATTTTATTTCGTTAAGAAACTAAAATCAAAGTAACTATTAAATCTTTAGAAGAAGCTGCTTAACATTAATCAGATTCCAAAGGGATTTGTGATTAATTTTATTATTTTCTTTCTTATCTCTGATCCATTAAAAACTTCTGTGTATGGCTAATACACACTATTAGAGTTGATTTTGGCATATCACATTCACAATAGGAAATATCGTTAGCTAATAAAATGTGTAATATCAAAATCAATTTTCTGCACTCGTCACATTTTATTAAAAGTGACGTTGCCAAAAAATTTATACCGCGATTAGGGTAAGTGCGCTGAACTGCGGTTTTCTACCGATTTTTAATACCAGTGAAGAGTTAAGCGAAATCGTGAATTGCGAGCATTTAGTTGCTATTGTTTCTTGAACCTCATTTATACAACTTACGCGCGAAAAAACTGATACATAACCCAAGAACGCACAAGATCTGTACGCACAGACGCACACAGAAATAAATTACCTAACTTTCCTTAACATTTAAAAATATTCACAAATTGTCGTCTCTAGTCTAAGTGTTACTTCTACATGAAATAATATATTTGTAAACGCATCCATGACAATATTTTTTCCCCAAAACCATTTTATTATGGTCCTACTTTGATGATGATGATCAAATGATGATTACCTTTCTATATGTTCAATGTTTTAGAAAAACTGGTATTGCATAGCTCGAGATAGCTACATCTCAAGCTATGCAATACCAGTTTAGTAACGTAGCTCAAAAATAAAAAAATACTTACTAATTCAAATATAAGTTCCTTTTCGTCCAGCTGTCTCAGTTCATGCCGCGACCTCCGCTGCGGCCGCGAAGGTGTGGCGTGAGGAGGCTGGTCTCCTAGGAAGGTGGGTGTGCCGTCTACCGTCGTCACCAACGGCTTCAGAAGACCACCGCGCTCAAACTCGTGCGCTGAGATCTTTCTGTGAAATGATAAGGGTACTTTAGTTATTGATTCCAGTAGAGAGAAGTCTGGTTGCTATCCTGTTGGAGTAAATAATTCTTCTAATCTATAAAGTGGTCTAAGATCGAGAACATCATAAACTCAGGTACTATAATACCTCAAATATTTAGAACAAATAGCCACAGGGCTATATTATTTTAACATTGTGTGTTCGGCCAAATCCCTATGTTCATACATCATTGTAACATGGTTTGATGCAATCACTAGGCGTTCGTCTCCAACTCAAACAAGTTATTAATATGGCATGTTTTTATAATAACTATCGTGAGACATACTAAATTAATTGGGCTCGCAGTGCAAGTAGCAACACCGATGCGAGCGCCAACGCCAGCCAGTAGGCTGCGCGACATCGCCGCGACCGCGCACACTGCTGTAGAGCTTTTCTCAGTATATTCACGTGAGTTACCCGCGATTTTTAGTTAATATGACATGTTTTTAAAAGTTGATATTGAAAACAAACAGTAGGAAGTAAGGCCATAAGACACATCTCTGCTATCCCCTATTAATGTAGGCGTGACGTGCAATGTGCCCAATATTTCCGAACATTGCCAACATGTCCATTTTTATGCCTGAATAACCGTGGAACTTTGTGTTGACTGGATGTTCGATTTTGATTGCTTTTAAACACAGTTAAATTGACCAAACGGTCTATTTTCCGGTACGTCGACAACATTTTGTCAAAATGACACATTGTCTGTCCCACAGGTCTGTCCCATCAACATTAGTACAGACAACAAAAAATCAGGGAATGAAAAATTGGCTTCTTGGAAATTATTTTCTTTCATCAGTTTTGAGTTGTTCTAACCGAAAATCAGTAATCAGTGGTCTACTTATTATGGATCTATTAAGAACAAGTCTACCAAAATCGAATTTGAATCTATGAAAACCAAAACCTCCACCAATAATAATAATTTATAATAAACTTAAGTAACAAGCGACACTTGAATAATTTGATAAACACAAAAGGACTATGAATAGCCATTTTTAGAAATGGATTAAAAATAGAACAAAATTAAAACAATTCAAATGAATAAACCACAAAGACTAATACTCATTATTTTTACGTCAGTATTAAAATAAAAATATGAAGAGTAACTTGATAGCATTTACTAAAATAAACATTAACATAATACGATTATGTTATTTATAATTTTAGTATTAAAACTAAAGAGAGAGCAAGCTAGATCTATTCAGCAATTAGTGGACTGGACAACAGCCAAATGGATTTGGGAGATATGTCATGAAACTGGATGAAATTAAGTCTGATGGATTATTTCAGAAGCCCTCAAGTGACCTTCGTTATTAAATTAAATGTAATAAATGTTGTTCTCAATATAATCGACAGCTTCAATTAAGTTAGACGTATCGAGACAAGATAAATATTGAACTAAATTAATTCTAAATTGTTCAAGAATTGTTGTATTCAACGTTCTTGATCTTTTTGCTTTGTCAATTCTCTTCTTATGTTTTTTGTATATTTCTTCAAGTTTCCACAGCAGAGACAAGTGATGAGGAATTGTTGTATACGCATTTTAAACCATTGATAATAACCATTTCAACAAAAAGGTACAATATATTCATCAAGTTTTTACCGAGACTAAACATGCAGGCCATCATGAACCTGGAGATATTCTATCTATTGTTTAACGGTCTGAAAACTAAATACACATAAACATCGGACCTATAATAACACATACAGTCTAGTTTACGATTCCCAACTTTAATCATCGCTGGGAGAAAAATTCACATTAACTTACTTAACTAATAATATTTTTGAAACGAAAAACTTTGATTCCAAACTTTACTGAAATATTATATTAATATACAGGGATATTTACTATGTTATTTCCACATAGATTTTCACCTTTCCGCCGTGAACTAGGTAAAGTTTTAATAAGGTGCTAAAACTAGATCTTGCTTCGAAACTAAGTTCTAAATTGATATAATGGGGACGTAAAGGGACTGTTTCATAAATTCACACCTATTTTGTGCAAACCAGTGATAGAAGGCGTTTATGAATAATAGTAAAGAAACCTTGTTGTATGAGGTTTTAATGAAAAAAGAGTGAAAGTGGTCCTTTTGTTACAATTTAACAGAAAAGCATTCCAGGAATCGGGCATTTAAATCTTTCACTCTGAATCAATGTTAAAAGTTTCAAACACATAATAAGTATTTTAAAACATTTACCTGAATATCGGTAAACTAATTAGATAGCATAAACTTCAAGTTTGCAAAACATATAATCATGTGCGTCTACCACAATAATCAATTTAGTGGTCTTTCTTCAGTGCATTATAGAGGTACAATCACCTCTCATTTGTATGCCTATCGTTATCGTCTTGTCCCAAACTCAGTCAAACATTTCCTTTCTCATAAACCTTCTCTCAACAGGGTGTTACAAGACTCTAATCCCACCTTTCTCTTGTTTTTCCCAACATCCTTACTTTACAAATATCCTCATCATTATGCATATAGGTTAGCGTTCAAGTAAGTCCTCCTAATCTATGCGGAGGGTGGTTTAGTTGTACCAGATAAAGACGCGATGACATAAGATTGATGAAGACTATCAACGTGGATTTTGAATACAGGAGGGGTGAATTTATTTCTTACAATAACATTTATCATGTCTGTTTTTGGTAAGAAGATAGACAGAAGTGTGTTGCGAGGTTTTTTGAGATAAGCCTACTGCAAAAAGTTTTATAGGATTCTTTTCTATAGTATGCATTGACGAAGATAGTGGCGTTTAACAGTACATGTGATGAGCATGCATGAAAAGACTGATTGATGACTGTTGATGAAGCGAAAGAGGTATGTAAGAATTCTAAGCAATTGGCGTTCCGTAGTCTATGCCTACCCCTAAGGGAGAGAAGTTTGACTGCATGGTTGGCGTGGTGGCTGGGCAACTGGCTGCCGCGCAACGTGTCGCGGGTTCGATTCCCGCACGGAACAACACTTTGTGTGATCCACAGATTGTTGTTCCGGGTCTGGGTGTCATTGTGTATGTGAACTTGTATGTTTGTAAACGCACCCACGACACAGGAGAAAATCCTAGTGTGGGGCAAAGTTTTATAAAAAAAAAAAAAAAAAGTGTGAGGTTATGTACATACATAACCATAAACGCTACTACATAGTAGCGTTTGGAGAACATTATGTCTGTAATTGTATTATTGACTGAGCCCACTTCAAGACTACAAATAAAATTATTTTTTGGAACCCAAAACCCCAATAATTACTTCAATCCGTCAACGGCACGTCTTTCCGAACCTGTCATAGTCAAAATCAATCAATAAGTAAAAATCCACCTTACCAATATTTACTTAAAGTCCGCAATAAGTATTAATTTACATTAACACTTATCTTCATTCTTAATTCCCTAACATTAATTATTTATCGAACCCTTTAACTGTTGACTATGTAAGCAATATTTGCTTTACCTAAACTAACGGATCGGATTTTTCTCAGCTGTGAACTGAGTTTGTTTATTTAGGACCTGTTAACAGGAAGCTTGTACCAACATTTATTCTTTAATGACTTCTGCACCATGTGAAGGGTGGAAATTATTTCCTTTGTAGCTTTTTTGTTTAAGTAAATTAATCTTTGATTTATTGATCATAGATATAGGTACAACTGTCCGAGTTTTAGTTTTGTTATTCTGGTCGGAAAAGTTATTAAGTACTTAATATTTGGAAATACGCATTCTAGAATCTTAATTGTAATTAGGCTCGTCTTTTATTACAACATGATTATTTACTGCCTAACTTATGAAACCAGTGAGAGGTGCCTTTTCAATGTAGATATGATAAAACAAAAGGACAAGACTGAATTTGAAAAAAAACAAACTTAAACTTTCAAGAAGAGGAAAGTCTAAAAATATAAAAAAACCTACTTCGAAAGAAATCCAAAATTCTCCAACAAAATCCCTTAAAACAATGATTAATAAGTAGATTATTTTACTCGTATGATTAATGACTTTTTTTCTCTCTGCTTGACGTGATTAATTACAGTGAAAAGAACAATCCTCTACCTACAAATAATAACGTACTTACCAAGAATTGTTGGCAGAGGGCGATGAAGCTAATTTATCAAAAATGTTTGTCATTTCAGCGGTTCGCAAACAAAGCCTAATTCCCAATATCGGTCATTGTTAACATCATAATCCTTTTTCGCTTCCTCATATTTATATTATAAAATGTTATCGGATACCGCAAGGGTCATATGGGTTACATAATGTTGATACCGGATAGGTTGCGTAGGTGGATTTGTATGGGTTTGTGGGGAATTCTGTTAACCTTTTACAGGACGATTATTATGACACTGTTGTTTGTCTATTAGTGTCGTTATCCATTAGTGTGTCTCCTGATTTAGATACTGATTGTGTCATGAATGAGACAATATTTATAATTTTTGGGCTTCTGACTTGTCTTACTTGAGTAATTAGATTTAATGGACAGGAATTAGTGCATCACCTAAAGTCCAGCAAAGTATTGAATCTAAGACTTGCTTAGTTTAGTACATTTCAAAAATGGTAGTCTCTAGAACTTACACAATTAAAATCCTTAATTATCTTCTAATTAGAGAAAAGCCGGTAACGCACTTTAACGCCTTTGGTATTCCAGGTGTCCATGGGTGACGCCAATTGCTTACCATTACGTGACCCGTCTGCTCGTTTACCGGCTTATTTCATAAAAAGCACTGTAAATTTAACTCTAAAACAATGTGGAATTCAATAGTTACCTGACAGGCGTTGTAGCTCCAGAGCCGGAACCGGCGCGCGACGGCGACGCGAGCTCGGCGCTCGGCGGCGTCGCGTGCGACACTAACCACGCATCCACCACTTGCCGCGTCGCCTTCCTGTCGACAATTCACATTTAATTCATTAAATAATGTAGATACTAAAAACTTCATCACATTTACCAATGCCATCTTCTTAAGTTATTCCATCGTCACAAGCATGATCATGAGGTCTGTTTTCGTTTATCCGAGATGTCGGGTATCGAACCATCCGGATCAGATACTATATTTTTTAATCGATTAATATTCATTGTCATGTTTATAAATTCTCTAGAGACAAGATAGGAGGTTCCTACCATCTAGAAGGAGTAAATAATTATGTTTACTCCTTCATTAACTCCTAATATATTAATGTTACAGAGCCCGCAACACTACATATGCAGTTTTGCATTAGGCTACGGCTAACAGATCCTAATATTACCAGGAATTATTACATGTTCAGTACCGAGAATATAAAATTTAATAACAATGCATGAACACCGTTCATAACTTTCTGAGACAATTCTATTGAAACGAATTTTGATGTAAATTATAACAAAACAACAACATAACCATAGACCCGAAGATGCTCTGATAGAAATAGCTAGCAATAAACCCGTTTTCAATAATAAACATACTAAAGAAGATAGTATCAATAATGCCATAGAACTTTAAAAAGACAAAGTCGATACTAGTAAAGACATAACAGGTAGGCAACATAGTGACGACACAAAATTAACATACAATTCACACATTGAACACGTAGTAATGTTTATAAATACATTGATATTTGTTTTAATAATAGAGGTAACTAAACTTATTAGCTTAAGATCACTATTTGAGACAATGATTCGATGCATGATACAATTCCTGCTAAGTAAAGTTGTTATGAAAGCAATAGATAATCTGTGGAACGACTGGCTCGGTCTACCTCTAGAGTGAAAAATATTTGTGCATCTTGGTTATATACTCATTAGAAGATTATAGGCTATTTAAAAGAAGCGATCACATGAAAACTATAGAATTAACATAAAAAACAAAGCAAAATAATTACACAAATGACATAAATATTTAATGTAGAAGTTAAGACGTAAGACCAGTAAAATTTTAAAACCTCTCAAATACTTCCAAAAGACGGTATAAGAATTTCTCATGCGAATTTTTTAAAAAATCTATACAACATTATATACTAGAAAAAGACAAAGCTACCACAAAAACATGAATTTGTTCAGAAACATAATTGTAACGGAAACTTTGATAACAATCGTATTCATTTAAACTAGTTGACATAAACTAGCATCGTTGCAAATGTTTGTAGAGGACAAGAATATCTTTGTGATAGAAACTAAGTGTTAAGTAAATACAGCTAAAGGAACAATAGGAGCATTTGTATTCTAATACGTTATGATATTCTGTGTTTGGGAGACTTTGCAGTACCAATTTTTATAGGACTAAGATCAATTTTTCTGCTATTGGTACTTGAAAATCAGCTTCATTGTTATTATCTGCGTTCATCTTTTCAAATTCATAACTAATGTGTTAAGATTAATTCTCATCATCCCATTTTTCATTTCCAACTACTACTTCATACATGTGTAATAAATCCTTTTTTATTTGAAAACGCCCCATATTTTCAGTGAAATGTTAACAAGGCTTCAAAACATGATTAACTGTTGACTTTAAATAACATTATTCTCGTTTTAAACGCAAACAAATGTCGAGCTATGCTCATTAATGGATCTACATAAAAATTATACGAACTGTACCCTGTTTCCTTTGTTTTCCAAATTATAATGAGTTAACTTGAACAGAGACAAAAGCACTCAGGGATAATAAGATTAGTCCTAACAAGCCTTTCAAGTATTAATGTTATTATAATAATTTCCATGTTCATTACAATTACAAGGCAATCTTTTTGATGTCGTCTTAACTTCTCTAACTGTCAGTCAAGCTAACAAAATTGTAGCTTTAGGATAATTCATAACAAAGCAGACGATCCACCATTCAGTTTCGTAGAAACAGACTAAATAACGACGCTTTAGTATACCTGCATTATTAAATATCAATGCACTACGAACTGCGACCGCATTGAAGTCCCTGGAGGAGCTCAAAACTAAACTAGCAGGATGTTGTGAAAGCCGATATCAAAACTTGCAAACTAGACACTAAAGGAACTGAGTTTCGAAGGCGGGTCTTTGCATAAGACTGCAATAATGGAGCAAAATGTGAAAGTATAACAAAATAATCTCAGCAACTTTACAAGATTGACGTCACAGACGGACAGCTAATAAGAAAGACAAGTTACAACAAATGAAGCTGTATACGAAATAAGAACGACGGACATATTAAACTAATAAATATTCAGCATGTTCATTCCATACGATAGGAGCTGTGACATCCTCCTTCCCATTTCCCGGGCATCGAACCAAAAGACAAATGGAAACTGCGATGTGACGATTTGTATACTAGAGTTACCAGAACAGAGCTGAACAATAACATACAGTTCGTATGTTTTCAAATATATTCCAATGACTCGACAAGATTTGAAAATACGCTTCAATAGTATAAAGTAACAGTAAAATTTTCATGCAACGTATCGCATTTTACAGTCAATTGGATTCTATAAAACTACATTTAATTTTACGTAAACGCGACATTAAACACTACGTGTTAGAGTTTTATATTGAACTTTATAGCGTATCTCGATAACCCTAATCGGGGTGTTAGGAATTTTATAGATACTTTTAAGATAAATGAAAAAGTAATACTATTTATACAGACGTTATATTATGCAATGACCAGATAAAATTAGTATTAAACGCATCATTTTATATTTTTCACTTACTATAAAGTTTTATCTGCTGTCAGTTTCTTACTTTTAATTTAATTTATTTCATGGCTTTTTTTGAGGAGGAGCGTCATCCAATGACTTCTCCCGTCCGGGTGAGGCGAGAAAAAGTGTCAGACTCTTACTAAGTTCTGGTCGGGCGGTGAACTACCCATGCTCGCCGTCCGCAAGCCCAATTCATTCGCGATGATAGGGATGACCATGGGGCCCAATACGGCCGATGCCGATTCGGAGTCGCGGAGAACCTAACGGGTAACCGGGGCTCCGACTCGACGTGCAGGAGAAGGAACGGGGTGGTTTTTAGTCAGTAAGAGTCTGACACTCCCCCCCGCCTCACCCAGGCGTGAGCAGTCATTTGATGATTTTCCCCCTTTAAAAAAAAAATCCAATTCATTCGAGGACTACGCCTCGATTTTTTAATACATTCCTGTAATCTATTTTTGACTATTTTATTTGTACATATTTTTCACACAAACCCTTTAACGAACAGGACGGTGGATGAAATTTTACACCGAATAATTGCAATTTGAAATCCATTCATGTGGTTTTTCATCTCCTTCAAACAGTTTATTCAAAAAGAATATCTAGTTACTACTACGAATAATTTAATTAAAACATTCCATTTATTTTAATCCACTTTTATTTATTTTAATACATCATACTCCAGCTGAAATGTATTATTATTCATAGTGCTCGCGAACCATCGTCGTAATTACTCAAGCCAATTCATCCATTCATAAAACTAATCAGTGTGGTCATATTTTAAACGTTTTATGGGCCATTTAAGAAACTACTGAAGCAATGTCGTTATGAACTTCAATACAGATAATAGCCTCCAGAATAAGTTGGTTTTATTGAGTTTTGCCGCATGTAGAAGTTAAAGACTGCGTTGTTGGGAGTGGTCGCAAGTGCGACTGCCGGGGCAAGCGGTCTCGGATTCGATTCCCGGGTCGGGCAAAGTATTGGGTTTTGTTTTTTTAAAATCTCATATCTTGCACGGAGTCTGGAAATGTGCCCCGTAGGTATATGGTAATAGGCTCTCTCCGTGGTTGTTACATTGTAGGTACACCTGAATACTGAAATGCTACTCAAATTTAAGTTATATTTAAATATCGTGTCATCTCGGTCATACATAAGCGCGACTTAAAAGAGTAACGTTTCAGTACTCGGGCATAACTCATGAATAAAGACATCATTGACTCTTAGGGATCTACTTGTAGGTCGTCTTTCACAAATTTGTTAGCGGTACTACCAACCAGTGATCTGGAAACCCAGCAAACGCCGTTTTACGGTTAATCACGATGATGATAAAAGACATCAGATCGTGCCGATTTTAGAATTTGTTTCTTGTTTAAGAATGTCCAACTTTCCTAATCATGAGACAAAACGACCCCATCTGGAAAGATTAAATCTCGAACAAAAGAAATATAAGAGGTAGGTGCTTATATAATAATCTGATGCTAATTGAACACGTCTAGATGCTGTCAACTAAGATATAATCTCTTAATTGCTTCTCCAACACCCACGGGAAATGGAATTGCGGTTTTGCAGAGAATAGAGAAACCGGTACGATCTAACGTGTAGCGGTTTATATTGTTCTTTATCTTTATACGTCACAAGGTGTAGTTACTGTATCTTCATCAATGTTTAGCCAGTTATGTTACCATTTAGACCGCGTACGATTTGTTACATACTTTTGCTGCATACATCATAATCACCCGATAATAATTACCTACGTTGCGTTACAGTACGTTTAATTACTCACGTAACTGTTCGAGGTTGCTCGTCTAGTATCAAGGCACTCACGGGGCCCATAATGATAAACAGGATGATCAAGACTCGCCGTGTCAGTTACGATGATAGTTATAATACAAAAACATGTAATAATACGTTGCTCGACTTTAAAGTCGAACTCAACGCACGAAACTTGACCAATGCGACAGTTATTGTTCTTATTACGTCTCTAACCGAAGTTTATGTGGTCAGTTACGACTTTCCGACAATTTCCTCATTCTCAAGTTTCCTTACTGTTTCAAGTTTATTTGTTTTATCTATCGGAAGTAATTTTAACCGTAAAACCAGTATTACTACCGAAAAACCGGCATGGCTGACGAACTCACGTTCTCTGGAGCGTGGAAATACCTAATTAAAAAACATGGCGTCAATTTAAATACATGTTTTACGTGATATCATTAAAAGGTGATTTATTAAGACAAAAATAATTCATAAGCAA